ATGTATAGCGATGGGGCCTCCGTTCCTGAAGTACGACGGGTGGTCGGAGTCCCTCAAAGGCCTCTTCGTGGAGGAGGAGTACAACGAGGAGTTCGACGAGACCTGGACGCTACATGAAGAGTGATTGGGCACAGATCCGAGCGGGGCCCAGCAGCAGGCAGCCAGTGACATGGCGGCTGCGGTCCTGGGCAGCGCTGGCGCGGGCGGCTCTGGCAACGACTCGGGCAAGCGCGAGGCCGCGCCAGTGGACGCCGAGCAGGGGAACTCGAAGAAGAAGAGCAAGGCGGACTCCAATGACAAGGCCGAACCTGATGGTGCTGAGATCGTGCCGAAGCCCAAGAAGCTCCCGAGGACTTCCAAGCCGTCCAAGCCCGATGGCGACACGTCCAAGCCCTCCGACGACGTCAACCTCGTCAAGGAAGCGAAGGGCGTCATCATCAAGCACGGCCTCGCGATGGTGCAGGCGCACACGATCCTGAGCAACATCGAGGCTGGGCAGAAGGAGTGGATCTTCATGAAGGAGGAGCCGATGCGCTACGCGAACTTGCAGAAGGACGCGCGGGGCGCAAGCCTTGCACACCACCCTCCTCCTCCTCCTCCTCCTCCTCCTCCTCCTCCTCCTCCTCCTCATCGGCATCCTCGTCCTCGTGCTCCTCATCATCCCCCCCCTCGTCCTCTTCCTCCGCCTCCTCGAAACGCCCCCCCTCCTCGAAACGCTCGGCGATGGCGGCGATGGCGACGACGCCGACGATGGACGACGGCGGTGGCGACGACGGCGGAGAGCGGGCGAGGGGGCGATGAGATCCTCGTGCCCCCAATCACGGGGGCCGTAGCTTATTAGCCTCAGCAGGCGCTGCAGCTCCTGAACGCAGAGGTGCAGAAAACCGACGGCCTCAACAGGTTGCTGACCACGAAACTGCCCGAGGTTAAGAAGAGCATGGACGAAACGAAATTCCACGGGATCCTCCTGGCCTGCATCGGCCCGGCGCAATCGGTCGACAACCTGGCGAAGGAGAGCAGCATTCTGAACAAAGAGGTGGCCGCCCGCCAGGAGGACTGAATTCACTTGAGCTCGACGCGCTGCCCACACGGGCGCTCTGTTTTTTTTGCTGCGGGGCGCGCGGTGCACGTCGTTTGGGGCCCAGGCAGGCCGCCAAGCTGGGGGTGAGGGTTACTATGCCCTCTCCTCCTCCCCCTCCTCCTCCTCCTCCTCCTCCTCCTCCTCCTCCTCGGCATCCTCATCCTCGTCTTCCTCATCCCCCCCTCTCATCCCCCTCCCCCTCCTCGAAACGCTCGAAACCACAAATCTAAAAACAAAAAAAAAAAAAAAACAAAAAAAAAAACGCACACGCACACACACACACACCGATTTCAGGGAAAAAAAAAAACAAGATTTCTGGAAAATCTGGCCGTCAACGGACCGTTGACGGTCCGTTGGCACCTGGACCGTTGACGAACCGTTGACGAACCGTTGAGACCTGTCGGAATGTGAGGATGTCTCCGGCGAAACGACCCATCTACCGTTGACACCTGGCCACCGTTGAGAGTTGACGAACCGTTGACGGTTCGTTGACGGTTCGTTGACACCTGGCGCGTGAGCTGGATCGGCTGATCCAGCACGCGGCCGGCCGTTCACTGACAAAAAACAACGATTCGGGCTCCGAGCGCGATTTTTGCGAGGGCCGCGGGCCCTGGCTCCGTGGGCGCGGAGCACTCGATGCTTCTGCGGTGCACCGCAAGGCCCTGCCATGCACCAGAGCTTCCCGACTGGATGCGTTTCTTTCCGAGCGCAACCAGGGGCGGGTTTTCGTCGCGTTGCTGAGGCACGTGGTGGCTCACGGCTCTCAGTGTACTGAGCCAGTTTGCGCATGGCTCTTTGCCGATAGGCTCGCTGGCACCGCCCAGCGAGATACGCGAGCGGCCAGACCCCTTCGCCCGTGCCCAGAGGTATTTTGGTTGCGATGGCGTTTGAAAATGAAATGGGGCGAACTCTGGGGGGAAATGCCAATCCGACGACATCAGCGCCGATAAAATATCTATGGGCACGGGCGACGGGTTCTGGCCGCCATCGCCTCACAGGCATCAATGATGCTGCAGTCTATCTCCTCTCCCGCTCTGCTTCACTGCACGCCATTAGACCATGACTCCCCCGCTGTCTCGTCCATGCCTTCACCTCGTCCTCCTGTAACCACCCCATCCACCCCTCCCTTCCCCAACCCATCGCCCCTGCTCCCTCCGATTCATCATCTCTTTCCTCCGTGTACCACATCCACGTTTTTTCATGTTCGATATGGGAAGCTGGTTTAATTAATTTCAATCTTGTGGGTTTTTTTGGGGGGGGAATATATGTAAATCGGTTTTTTTGTTTTTTTTTGTTTTGGGGTGTTGTTTTTTTTTTTGTGTCAGCTGCCGTTGTGTACTGTTTCTCGCGGTGGTCTCAGCGTTGTCGGTCGCCCATATCATTCG